TCTGTTCTGACAATTGCCTCTTTTTTCAAGTATAGGTTTCACATAAACACAATCAAACGTCCTGAGATTCCCATTCTTCTCAGAGTCAACCACAGTTATGAAACAGAGATAGACCTTCCTCTGCTATTCATTCCTTTCAGCCAAGTTTCATCTAACATGAGCTATAATATCCCTAATACCATGGCTTCTTCTAAACCCAGTCTGCACATCTTAGATTTTGAATATTGCATTAGAGCACCGAGAAGCCAAATCTAAAGGAAGAAGAAATCAAGAAAGTAAGGAACTGAACAGAAAATGTCAAAGGGCAACTTGAGAAGACAAATCAAGGTATTACGATGAAATGTGCAAAGAGCTGGAGTCAGAAAATCAAAAGGGCTGAACTCTTTCAGCATTTCTTAAGCTGAAGGAATTGAAAAACAAATTCAAGCCTGGTATGACAATACTTAAGGATGCTTTGGGCAGAATGTTAAATGATCCAAGAAACATTAAAAGAAGAAGGAAGGAGTATACAGAGTTGTTATAACAGAAAGAATTGGCTGACAGAAGAATTTCATGAAACAAAATGTGAGCAAGAGCCTGTGGTGATGAAGGAAGAAGTACAAGTGGCTCTGAAAGAACTGGCAAAAACAAGGCTCCAGAAGTTGACTGCATACCAAATGACATATTTCAACAAACAGACACCGCCCTGGATGTGCTCACTAAGTTGGACCATGAAATCTGGAGGACAGCACGCTGGCCAACTGACTGGAAGAGATCTATATTTGTTCCCATTCTAAAGAAAGGTGATCCAACAGAATGTAGAAATTATCGAACAATATCATTAATATTACATGCAAGCAAGACTCTGCTAAAAATTATAAAAAAATTATCGAAGCAACAGATCAACAGAGAATAGCATATACTGAATGTTTTAGGGTAACATATCCTATATATGTTCTTGAGATTGAGTTGGTTAATTGTATAGTTTAGTTCTTCTGCATCTTTGCTGAGTTTCTTTCTTGTCATATTATCTTTTCTTGACAGTGGTATATTGAAGTATCCTACTACTACTATGGTGTTTTCTATTTCTTTTTTCAATTCTATTAACTTTTGTAAAAATTTTGCAGCTCTATCATTTGGTGTATAGATATTTATTTATTATGTAGAAAGCATATGGATGGAATTTGGATTATTTTTATCCAATCTCTTATTCTTTTTCTCTTCACTGGTGCATTTAAACAATTCAAATCCCCTGTAATCATTGAGAGGCAATAGTTTATTGCTGTTATTTTTGAAAATATAAAGATTTTTAATATTACATTTCTTAATATGATTTTCAAATATATGTTGTGCCATTTTGATCTTTCCCCATTAGAGTTGTTTTGGTGTGGCTTTTTTTAAATTATATTTTATTACTTTTAAGGAACATTTATGGAGATTTTTGGATTTTCAAAGAGAGGCGTGAACTGGGCGGGGAGGGCTGGGCAGGGAAAAAAGTGGAACAATGAATTAATGGAATGTGGGTTGTTTTTTTAACAAAATAAAAGCATAAGAATATTTTTATTCACTAAAAAGTTCATCATTTGTTGGATGCATTGCTCATGCTCCGTGTGCCAGGCACCAAATTCCCAGAGAACTTTGATTCTGTTTCTACTTTTTCAGTTCCATTTCGTTCATCAGTTTGTGTGTCCTCATACTAATATCACACAATCTTAATCACTAAGTGTTTGTAAGAACGTCTAAAATCAGATAGTACAATTTGCCTTGTTATTTACCAAAAATATTCTAGAAATTATTTCCCACTCACTCTTCTCTTTTTGATCATTATCATAAAATTCAGTTTGAAAAATGGGTTTGGAATGTGGATTAGAATGGAATTCAATCTGTACGTAAATCTGAGAAAGAAATAATCATAATATCATCTATCTATGAACATGGTATTTCTCAATGTTTCTAGGACATCTTCAATAAAATGAATTGGAAGTAGGCTCCTTACTTTTGATTAAATCATTAAATGAAAGTCTTTTAAGGAATTGAGTTAGAAATAAAGTTGATTCAAATAATTTTGATTAGGTAAAAACAAACAAAACCCCCTTTGCCATGACTATTACTTTTCTTCTATAAATGATATTTCAGTATTGTTTTGGTTTTTTTTTATATTTCAGTATTGTTATAGGAATAATGAGGTAGCAGAGACAATAAAAGCTATGTAAGGTGTTGTTTCTAAACAGATAGACATTCTGGACAAGATAAATGTATACAGGAATATCAGCTTACAGCTTAAGAAATCTTTACATTGTTATTGATATCACTATTACTAGCTTACAGTTAAATTAATCTTTACTCATAAATCTACATTGTTCTTGATATAAAAATATTAAGATTTATAAATCCATTGAGTAAGTATTTTCCTAACAAAATTACAATTACACAAAAGTTATTTTCACTTATGTATTCACTGAAGGTATCAAACATTTTTTATAAAGTTATAATTGTTGTTGTTGTTGTTGTTATGTGCCGTCGAGTCACTTGAAAGTTATAATTAAACTTCATAAATATACATGAAACTGAAAATTTTCCTCTTACGTAATCAGGATTGGAAGAGTTTGCAATGATTTCATGAAATAAAATCAACTAAAATTTGGTATTACATTTTAATATTCCAATATTTTGATCAAAATTTCTATATGGTGATGATTAGACCCTATGATATAGATTGACTAGCCATTGTTGAACTTTCCTAATTTCTCTTGTTGTAGAAAAATTCTAAGAAATGTCATCAGAACAAAAATTTAGCTGATACAAGATAAGGTGGTGGCCAACATATCTGATAGATTGACCCATTCTATAATCATGCAAAAGTGGGCTTTTTACTAACATTTTCCCTACTGACTGTTATTAGCAAATCTAAATTCTAGAACTCTACAAATTTAGCTACAAACAGATTACATTAAAGAAAATTCGTGTTTATCTTTTTCAGCATGTGGAATACAGAAGAAATGAGAGTGTAACCTTAATAATTTTAAAGAAACAAAGTATGTGATTGCACAGGAGCAATCTGACATGCCATTTATAAAACGCCCTGTGGCAATATATATAAGTCTTTTAACTGAGGATAAATTTAGTTGCCTTTTTATGTTTTAGTTAGCTTGTGTTTTCTTCCTTTTCTAGAGACAGAGTTAATGTTATATCAGTTCAACTGAAAGAATTTTTAGTAAAATGGAATACAAAAAAATTAATAATTGAAATGTTAGAAAGCAATTTCCACAACCACAAATGGACTGTCAGTTCATAAAATTTATCATTTAAACCAAGAGAAAAATGTTCTTACTTTCAAAGATTAAATTCATGAATGATGGAATAATCTGCATGTATTTTTACTTTGGTTATATAAGTTTTAATATGGATACCATAGTTCCATTTACAAATATGGCATCATGTGAATTATTTTACAATGTTTCTACCAGAAATATTAACTGTTGCATCATTTCAAAAGATTTATTAGAAAAATGTTAAAGAATATTTTAAAATATGATAGGTTATAGAATGTCTTTGTCTCCTTATGGGTTTGTCTTTCCACTTATACAAAATATTTAAAAGACACACTCTGAGAAACAAAATTAACAACATTTTTCTAAATTTAACAGCAAAGAAGAATCAACAGCAGCATCCCAAGGGGATAACTTTGAGAATTTAAAGGTTACAGGTAATACGTATTCAATTTTTAAAAGAAAATCTTTTTCTTTTGTTACAAGCCTACGATTTAAAAAAGCTCACATATGTACAACTGCATTAACTTCTCAGATGCCTACATCCCAACAATTGTTTGTTCTCTGGAGGACAAGGAAGACTTGGAAACCAAGAATCAAAATGTGAAAGACGCACACAGGGAACATGATGAACATAATGAAAAGGAATTAGAGTTGATGGTAAGTGTTCTGGTTGCCACGGTATTAGAGAAGATGAATCCATTTATGCTTCAAAGATGCAGCAATGCCTGTCTTTCAATAGCTTCACCTAATATAATTTGCAAATGTGAATTCACAGCCTATTTTGTCCTCGCATCTCTAGTTGATCAACAAGGCACTTTGATTTCAGTATGTTGCTTCTGGTCTCTGCAGTGGCAAATTAATGACATTCATTTCTTATCTCTTTACCAGCGGCTCTGAGTAATAGTTGGTAGGAATTATAGGAGAGGTAGCACTATTCTGACGTGCATTTCTAATCTTTCTGACAAGTGTACACTTAGCATAAACTCCTCATCTATAAAATGAGAGAGCTGGACTAGATGCCTGCGAAGGTCCAATTTTCTAAGTATACGGCTCTTGCATTAGCTGCAATTTTTTCTCAACTTCCACCCTTCTGAGAGCCTCAAAGTTCTGTATCATTGTACTCAATTACCCAGTTGGAAGAAAATCGCCTGTGCCATAATTTTAGAATAGGAAACAAATTCTGTACTGTACAATTCAGTGTTAAATTTGTTATCATAAATTTCACACTTGGTGAACATCCAATCTATTTGGAATTTGGGGGATGCTTTAGAAAGTATTTCTTTTTTTTATCACAAAGTAAGAAATAGCAGTAAATGAGTCACATAATGCAATTTATTCTTTTACTGTATTTGGTTGGTGCGTCTATCATTGGAATACATAGATTCCTAATCATCTAAGATTAAAATGACGTTTGCCTCTTCAAATGTCAGAGCTGAAATGGAAAAGAAATAGAGCTCATCTCCTTCCCCACACATTTCTTCCACCCTTTTCTATAGTGATATGGAAGCTGCATCACTAAAGTATGCAATTTACTTTGCTCCAACTTTAAGAAATTACAAAGTTGTCACCCATTGTGAGAATTCTCACCAGCTGAAAGTTAACAGTGCCATTTTTTTTTCAAACCACAGAATATAATGAAAGATCCCTGAAAAAAAAATACATATTTCACCAATATACCTCATTACAATGAGCAGACTCAAATATAAAAGTTTGTTTAGAAGTTACTGAAATTGTACGTCCAATAAATGAACTGGGAGCTATAATTTAGATGCTAATTTGCTCCATGCTGACGTTAATGCATAAAACAATGAAGCTCTATAATAGATGGAAATACAACCAAATCTGTGGAACCCACAGGCATTGGCTTACAAGACAGCTGTGCAGTTGACAAGTAACATGAGCCTTATGTGAGAAGAAGGGGAAAACGTAAGATTTGCATATAATTATTGAGATCATGCAAATGTCAGTTATGAGGAAGAGGAAAAAAAAAACCACACAGGCTTCTCACTGTTAAATCCTGACAGTTGGCATCACTGAAGAGCTCAAATACATTTGAGTACCAGTTGGCAGAGGGTCATTAAAACAGAATTTGCAGAGACATTAACTCCCTCACTTTTCTTTGAGTGACGTTTTGCTATTAATAGTTTGCAGAAGCTTTGCAGAAAACATATTAATAAGAGAAACCGTAATGGGGGCACCTACAGCAAGTGTGAATGTAGGAAGGGGCACCCAGGAAGCTGCTCTCTAATTGATTAGCATGGAGCTATCAATGTGTATATCCTAAGTGAGGAGAAAGTGCAATGACAAGCAAGAATAGTTGAATAATACAATGTGATATTTGCAAGCTGGGAAGGAGAGTGATTAATTTTGGCCCTTTTCTTATTAATCTCATTCCCAAGTCATACTCTACAAGGATCTCCCCAAAACATCTGGCTTCTAGAGTTTGTGCAAAATCTACAATTAAAATGAGTCAAGGAAATCTACCAGATAATTACTGTGTTAATGCAATCTGTATCACTGCCTTTGTGTATTGAAAAATATCAGTTATTATTTTCTTTTTCCATCCCTAAAGATAAATGAACGCTTAATGCGAACTAGAAGTACTTCTTCCAGAGAAGAAAAAGATATATTTTCAACAGACCAAGACACTTTTCCAAATAAAACTGAAGATGTAGAGAAGAAGAAAATTCCGGGTGAAATCCATTCTGACTTTTGCAAAAGACCTTTGTCTCCAAGTTCATCAGCAGAAAGTACCTTCAAAGAAGAGTTTTACCACATTGAAAACCATTCCTCAGGAAACAAGTACAGTTATCGGCCCTCGAAGGAAATGACTTCAGGTATGGGGAAGATCAAAACTTCATTGCGGGATGCAAGTGGTGATGAATTAGTGCAATTACATATCAGCAGCAAAGAAGAGCTGGATGATAACGCTAATCCAGCCCAAGCGAGGGGTAGAGTGCAGATATCTTGTTCCTTCTCAGATCAAGTTGTGGCAGACAGTCTTAAAGAAAAACATAAAGGAGAACCCAAGATAACGGAAACCAAAGACTGGGAATATTTGAGGAGAGATTTCCATTTGGATGAATCTGCATATCTGGAAGAATCAACAGGAAACAGATCTTCCAAGAGAGATTACGGCAGTGAGGAAGATGAGGATGAGCAAAGAATACAGCTATACATTCACGAAAAAGGAAGCAACAATTTTCAGCCAATCTTTGATGATCAAGAAAAGAAGAAAAGTCCCTCTGAAGTAAGTGTGAGAGGGATAGGCGCTCATAGTAGAGACCAAACTGCTCTTCTGGACAAAGACACACTGATTCCCAGTTTGGAAGTAACAGCAGATAGGTTTCATTTACCTAGGACATATTTACGTCAGGAAGATGTATTAACAGCCCCACAGCATGAATTCACAACCAGTGAAGGAGTCACTTTTGAAGGGAGGCCAAGAAATGAAAATGCTCTGAGAAATGATTACCCTTTCCAAGTTGAGAAAGAAAAATCAGATCAGCTTGATCCTGAAGATCAGAATAAGAAAGTACAGCACAGACACAACTGGAATGTTCTGGAAAGTCAGGGGAAAGCAAGCGGGTGTAAGACAAATACAACAGAGCACATCAAAGAACAAGCAGACTGGGAAGACATGTGGGGGAAAAGAGATAACACAAGGAGTGTGAAAGGTACTCCTACAGAACAGTTGTTTACCTGCCAAGAAACAGTGCACTGTGCACTGTCTTCTCTAGCTGATCATGGTGTTACCGCAAAAGCAGAAGCGGGTACAGCTTGTATAATTAAGACAACATCAGAGAGTACTCTAGAAAGCATGTCTGCTAGAGAAAAAGCAATAATTGCCAAGCTACCTCAAGAGACAGCACGAAGTGACAGGCCCATCGAGGAAAAGGAAACAGCGTTTGATCCCCATGAAGGGAGAAATGATGATTCACATTATCCCCTTTGTCAACGGGACACAGTAGGTGTAATCTATGACAACGATTTTGAAAAGGAATCCCAGTTAGGTGTTTGTGATGTACGGGGAGATGAAATGGAGAGGGAAGAAGCCAGGCCTATGTACAATTGTAGGAGAATACACGGCAGAGAGAAAAGTGGCATTGGAAAGAATAGGTCTGCAGATGAATCCTTACAGGTCATTACTGGAAACCATAATACAGCTTCAAAACAGGGTTTACATTTGGAAATGTTGCCAAAAGGTGGAAAAATATTTTCAGAAAATAGAGATCATGGGCAAGTCCAAGATTTATCGATGAGAACAGACTTTGATGTCCTTGCTCCTGCTGCTTTTAATTCAGACACTAGCAGAGATTCTCAGAATGTGTCTCCTGCATCCAATGACCACACTAAAACTTCAGTGCCATCTTACGAACCAGCAACTCATGTAAAGAACACAAATGCTACTGTGACTGTACAGTCTAATTCTATGAGATCAAAATATAACAGTCATACAACAGCTGAAACCCTGGGTAATGAGAAGCACTATCATCCTGAAGACATTTCCCCAAGTTCAAGAATAGTGACTTCTAGTAGATGTTTAGGAAAGATTTTCCAAAAAGGAGAATGCAGTTTAGAGAAATCTCTAGGGCCAATGATTTTAATCAGTGAGCCCTCTGAGCATAAGGAAGAGGCAAGGCGTGGAAATGAAGGGTTACTAAATTACGGACAAGCAGTATGCCCTTCAAGTGCCAAGGAATGTGATAACTCCGCCTCTGCCAGTTTCCTGGCCCAAGAAAGTCAAGCTCAAAGCAGTGAGTCTCTGCTTTCAAAGTACATCAATTCGAAAATACCTTATTTCCTGTTGTTTCTGATATTTCTTATAACCATCTACCACTATGACTTCATGATTGGCTTAGCATTCTACCTTTTCTCATTGTACTGGCTATCCTGGAAACGGGAGAGACAAAGGGAGTCTGTCAAAAAAGAGTAACCTCAGCCATAGAGCCACTCTCTTTTACAATGTAAGCTATTTTGTCCCAAACATTTGGATTGGTGAGAGAGACTTGACTATTCATTGTTCAAAGAGCCAGTGCAGTTTTTCTCTTGAAGGATCATTTGAAAAGGAATGCGTATGAAGTTTGCTCCTTCATATAAGTAATTATTCTATATAGGACCATTATGTTTGGATCATTAAATACCTATATGAATATGAGATCTGAAGCACGTCAAGTTGAAATTAGGTACAGCTGTTGCTCCTTAGCAGGTTATGAAGTTGCAATGCTTCGTGTCTCTTCACTACTTAAAGTGCCATTTCTTGCATTCATTTCTTTTACAATAAGCTTCCTATTTTTTTCTCCCTCGAGAATATTTCTCCCCCTCCGGTTTTTAAAAATAGATAAAACGTGGACAATGACAGAAGGACTCTGTTGGTCTTTTAGTAATGACCATGAAATTCGCACTTACCACTGTATCCTTACATTTTGATAGAGCAGAGTTCTTTCACCTTACATATCATATTTTCAAGAACAGCACTCATGTACATTGAAATGTGTTTAAATAGAAGAAACTCATTATGTTTGCATGGGTAATGCCTTAAACACATACTTTATACTTCCTTTTTACTTCCAAAGTCAGGACATCCGTAAGCTGAGTCTGACAAAGACCGAGACAATTGGGAAATTATCTTTCAATTCTACACGATTTTGTAGGTACCCTGTCTTTAAGAGATTTTTCCTTTTCTCTTGTAAAGGGAGACTGTGCTACATAGTTGAACAGTTTCAATGTCAAGTATTATTCAGAGATGAAAATTTAAATTAAAAACTCTACAAGCGTTGCTTAAGAATGAATTTGTACCTATAAATGCATAAAGTATCAAATGATCATCATAATAAAAAATGAATTGCAAATAAACTGTTTCTTCTACCTGGAAGTATTTTTTTTTCTTCAAGCAAATTTTTAACCTTTTCTCAGTATAAGACAGTGAATTATCACCAAGGTTGTATTTAGAGAACTAACAACTAGTTGTTGATGGTAGTGATTATGTGACTATCATATTAGAAGGTGAAACAGTGAAACTTTATGTTGCCAAAATAATTAGGACTCTGAAGCAGAAATAAATATCCAATATAGGAGAAACTTTAGCTATTTTTATTATCTTTGGCCAAGTATGTGAAATAAATGACACTAATAACTTTAGGGAACTAGGAATAATGCAAGGATTCATACTCAATAGACTTCAACTACCGCTTATCGAGTGGCTACTGTATGTCCTCAATGGGATGGATTTGACACAGTTGCAGGGCAACAGTGGGCTTGACGCTGGTGGAGATCACGGAGACGGCGCAGGAGAGAGGAGGTTTCAACTACTGTTCATAGGATCCTTATGAGTCTTAGGTGACTCCACATCATCCAGCATTAACAACACCACTATATGTAAAAGACTCCCCAGTGGAAAGTTAAGTAACTTAAGCATTGAGGTGCTCAAGGACAGGTCTGCAAACCCCCTTTTTTTGAAACTGTGTAGTAAATAAAGCTAATTCTCAGGGAGTTGACATCGATATGTAGTGTGCTACTTTTGAATTGACTGAGAATGTACTTGGACTATTCCTTCTCCTTACTGACTTCTTTGATGGAATGTGTAATATCGATATTAAAAAAGAAAAAGTAATGTTTTTATGCCTCAATGCTGTAAAAGTAAATTCAATGAGTCAAGCCTCTGTTAAATGTAATCCCACACATTTCAGAGATATGCGTTCATGGGAAGACAGAGTAAGAATAAAACACTTAAACTGACTTTAACCTGGTAGTAGATTATTTCTTTTCTTTTCTTTAGGTAAACAACTATTTCCAAAGCCCCTAACTGCATGCTTGTCTCAAGTCCCATTCAGAGTGAGTGCTTAAACTCACAGTTGAACAAATACAAACATCCTGAAGTAGGACTTGAGGCAAATGTTTGAGGAAGCATATTTTCATGAAGTCCAAGTGGAATTCTGTAGCCTGTCCTAAGAATATTAGCTCTAAAATTACCGATCTGATAATTTTATTGACAGGTAAATTATTTTGGAGTTATTACCAACATTTGGTCATTTCTGAATGATATGACTTTTTCTTTCTGTCTTTAAGGGTTTCAGTCAATATGCCATGTTTTAGTAATGTGAAGAATAAAGATATATTACATTATTAACACAGGTGACTGCATGTAACTCTCCCCTTTAAAGAATAATGTAACCTCTTTTATCTCTTCTCTTTGACTTTCAGTGACTTTACCTTCTAAGTCCTCTCATATATATTTGTAAAATGATAATAGCAGTTTCAAAGGCTTTCAAATTCCCCATTGTATATATCTCTGCATGCAGAATAGCAATAATTGGTTATTTAATGAGTTTCAAACTTAATTTACAAAGAGCTTAAAATAAAATCATAAGTACACGTGAAACTACAGATTGGTGAAGAAGTGCATCTTTATAAGTTGTTTGGGACACATCTGTATGTTGAACAAGAGCAAATGATCTTAATAAGAACCACCTATGAGCCGTCAACAGCAATTTTTAGAAGTATAGCAGCCTTGCTATGTCTTTCCAAGTATCATTTAAGAAGCAAAACAAAACAAAACAAAAAGGGTGGCAAGAATATAAACAGAGATGCATTTTATATTGACTTCAGAAATTGGTTGAGAAAGAACATGCTAAACATATATATTTGCAAGTCAAACAACTTTAGCTAGTACAAAGAATAATATTTTAAAAACTCATCCCATAACAGTTGTAGTAGGAAATTTCTCAGAGTTAGAGGTTAATGAATCAGTGGAATTATAACATTACTCTTGAGTTTTAATGGAACAGTAAGTAAATACAAGATGCTTGTTTTCTTATGGAGTGATAGTTTATTGCTCTCATGGTTAAGTGGGAAACTTATAAGTGTTCTAATCCAATGTGGCAAATAAAGGCAATTTTCATTTTTCTAAGTAGCAGTCATGATCCTTTCTTAAACTAATTTTTCTTTTATAAATATTCTTTTCTCAAACCAGACCTATTTTCTTCTTCAGGCTTACATCATGCATAAATCAAATCAAACCAAACATTGGAAAAACGGCATGAGAACTGGTAAAGATTGGAGACTTGGTGCTTGCAGTGTATGTTAATTAGCTGATTTCTGTAATCAGGATCTCTGATTTTTCAAACTGAATAGAGAAACTGGAGCATTTAATAAGACTCCTATTGTTTGAATCTTGTCTTAGTTCCCATGGAACTGAGAAGTAAGTTTGGTTTTTATTCTGCAAAGAAGATATAAAACAAATATGAAACAATGCTGCTCCAGGACCTTCACACTCATTCACCTCAAGCCAGAGGCCCTTGGTCAACTCTTCCTTTGGTTTCTGAAGCACAGTAGGAGATTGCTCACCTTTGTGGAGATGCAGGTGGATTTGAACCACCAGGGAGAACCTGCCTTTGGCTTAGCAGTGCAACTCCTGTGGACTGTTACTGCTAAAGAAGATTATTTTTATTTGACTAAGTTCATTTCCACAACCAGCACCTGGCCTAGTTTTCACAGCTGCTATTGAGTTTCTCAAGCAATTCTTTCCAGAGATGAAATCAATCTGGTTCCTAGGCATACTATCAGGTGAGATCCACGTGTATAGCCTGCGTTTATGTTTCTTATAAAGTGTATTTGCAATGAATTAAGTCATTGATTGTACCAATTTCTGTCATTCTATTTCTAGCTTCACTACTGCCACCAAGTCCATGTCTTCCAACTACTGATACTTCTCTATTCCCAACTTTTGCATTCCGGTCACCCATTATTATTAATGCATCTTGATTGCGTGCTCAATCAATCTCTTCTCTCTCTGATGGCAAAAGTTGGTAGAAATCTATTTCCTCCTCTTTGGCTCTGGTTGTTGGTGCATATATATGAATGATGGTGGTATTCACTGGACTTCCTTGTATGTGTATGAATATTATCCTGTCACTCACAACATTGTATTTCAAGACATCTAGATATGATTTTTTCACTTTGAAAGAAACTCCATTTTTATTCACCTTTTCATCTCCAACATATTATATATCATATGATCAAGTGACTCAAACTATCTCATGCCATCCCTCTCATTTCTCCAATACCTCGTATGTCAATATTTATGTGTTCCATTTCTTTCTTAACAATATCCAGTTTTCATGGTTCTTACATTTCTTGTTCCAATCATTAGTATCTGTTTACAAATGTTCTTTTTCCTCTGTGTTTCCATACTTAAGGGCTCAGCCTCAGATGCCATACCTTTCAGTCCGTGATCTATTATACATAGGGTTTTTGAAGGCCTGCTATTTCAGAAGTGGATGGCCAATCCTTCTTCCTAGTCTGTCTTCATTTGAATGCTCAGATTGAAAGTCAAGATCAAGAAAACAAAGATTCTCAGCACTGGGTCGACTGGTACATCATGATAGATGGTGAAGAGATTGAGATTGTTAACACTTTTAGTTTGCTTGTCTCCACAATCAACACTCTTGGTACCAGCAGCCAGGAAATTAAAGGATGGATTGCACTGGGAAAGTCTGCTGACAGAAACCTCTCCAAAGTACTGAAGAGCTGTGATGTCAGTCTGGAGACTAAGGTGCATCTGATTCAGGTCATAGTCTTTGCAATTACTTGCTATGCATCAGAAGGCTGGACAATGACTAGGGATAATAGAAGGAGAATTGATGTCTTTGAGCTGTGGTGTTGGAGAAGAGTATGGTATATACATACCATAGACTACTGGGAAAACAAACAGCTTCATCCTAGAGTTTGTGAGACTAGCTTGCTTCTTGGAGGCAAGGATTCTGAAGTTTCATCTGACATACTTTGGACATATTGCAAAGAGGGACCAATCCTTGGAGATGGACGTCAAGCTTGGGAGGGTGGAGGGACAGTACAAGAGAGGAAGACTTTTGATGAGATGGTTTGATTCAATAACTAGCGTAATGGGGGTAGGTGTTTCAGAGACAATAGGATTGG